AAGACTAAAAAGCTAGCTACCATTCTACATATATTAAACTCAAAGCCTAGCCTTCTCATTTTATATATAATGGCATTTTGCCATACGTTGTCGAACGCTCTGGCAAAATCTAAACTAACAGCGATAGTTATGTGTTTGTTATTTAGAGCTTTAGTCACATAGTCCCCTAAGACCATCAGGGCATGTGAAGTTGAATGACCCTGCCTGAAGCCAAATTGACTATCAGATAGGATTGCTCCTTCTTCTAACTTCTCTCTTATATCAGAGAGTAAAAAATACTCAAAAAGCTTCCCGAACGCTGAGAGTAAGGTAATTGGTCTATAACTACTGCATAATGTCGAGTCCTTGCCAGGTTTCAGGATGGGAATTGTAATTGCCCTTTTCCATGAAACCGGGAAATAGCCCAGATTTATACAGTGGTTGAAGATAATCGCTATATGTTTCCAGGCAGCGCCATCGGTCCTCCTTAACACAATGTCAGGGATTCCATCAGGTCCTGCGGATTTGCGATTAGATCTTCTTTTCAACCCTGCTCCGATATTGGGAGCTTTTAGGAATTTATTACTACGCCATGTATTTTCCTCACTTATTATGGAACCATCTGCAGTTAAGTTATCTGCAAATGTCACCAGTGGTGAGTTATCATTATAAATTGATACATCACTTCTAATAGCATTGCTGAAAGGAGTGGTATCGACGGCATCAGATTGTCCTTGAACAACATCCGCTAACATGTTAGCCTTTTGGCTAGACATGACTGCCGTGGTCCCATCGCTGCCGACGAGTTCTGGGATTTTGGCATGGCGGCTAATACCTGCTGCAGCCTTAACTTTACCGTACATACGCTCATCCACCTGGATTCCATTGAGGAATTGGACCCACTGAACTGTTTCGTATTCCGCAATTGCTCCTTGGATAATTCTATCCGCATTGCGAATTTCTGCCTTGAGAGTTATATACCTCTCAGGGTTTAGGGTACGGTATAATCTTCTCCGTAGAACTTTCTTTTGCCGGATAAGGTCTAGTATTTCTGGCGAAAGTCTCTATTCCCAGAATATGTTCTAGGAATGGTGGACTCCATGGCATTTCGGAAAACCTCACTCGTGGCATGGTGGACTCCATGGTATTTCGGAAAACCTCACTGAGTGACATTCCGATCTATAGGAAGTTGGCAGTTGGGAAGCTCTTCCGCCAATATCCTGTTGAATTGTCGTTTGTCCATTCTTCTATAGTTGAAGAAAGTCCGTCTAGGTCTACGTTCCGGTTCGTCCCCGTATACCGTCATTTTCAGCGCTCTGTGATCGGAATTACAGTCTACTGTTGTAATCCCTCGCCCCCCCATTGTCATCAACATGGGTACCAGACGAAGCCAGACAGATGTCGATAAAGGATTGTGATCCAAAAGCGACCCTGGTCGGTCCTTCTGTGGGTATTACATTTAAAACTGGACAGCCGATTAGGAAATCAAAGACTATCCGTCCTCTTGTACATGTTTGGTCACCCCACCAGCTAGTGTGTCTAGCATTGAGGTCTGCCCCTACTATAACTTCCGCAGATCTAGCTAAGTTCCCAAGTGGTTCTAAGCTATTTATATTGAAAATCTCAGATGGCCTACAGTACATAGCCACTGCGTACAGTGGTGACCCGCCGGCCCTATAGATTCTAACACAAGTACACGCGATGGGTCCCAAATCAAGCGGTACTTTTTCACATCTTATGTTTTCCCCTACTAGTATAGCGGTACCCCCACCCCTCAAATCACTTCTATACTGTAAGAAACTAACATATCCTCCTATCTCAAATCTGTGGTTTTGAGATAGTTTGTGTTCTGCCAACATCATGACCTCCGGCTGATGCTCATCGAGAAATAGACGGAGGTAGTGCCTCTTATGTCTCGATACAACAGAGTTAATGTTGGCAAATATAAATGTAGAAGACCTAACCATTTATACCTAGCATGCCTACCAAGGAGACCATGGCTTTAGCCTGGCTTGCCTTGTCCTTACTTTTTAGTTCTTCCGAAAATTGACGAACTTGCATGACAGATGTCAAGAAATCTTTACCGAAGATTTCATTACAAAGTTCGTCAAAAAGCGTGAAGCCACTAACTACTTGGCCTAGCGATTGCTCGCCCAATCAACACACCCCGCAAACAATCATAGTTTTGTATGTAAAATTCACCCTCGATCGGCAAACTCACCACCAGAACTGCTCGCTTCTTTGCAACAACAAAAAGTAACAGTTTAGCTTTCAACGAGTAGGAGATCATATTGTTTGATATCATGATTCATGATTTTCCATTTCGCAAAGAATTAGCAAACAAAATGTTTACGAGAGAGGGAGAGTTACACTTTCTGGTGGTGAGTTTACTGACCGATGGTGAATGTTATACACAAAACCAAGATTGTGTGAAAAGTGTGATGAAATGCCAATGGGCAATGAGCGCTGCTCTACGAGCAACAGAATTTCCGTTGGACTTTAAAGGAATGCCGTTTCCTGTGCGCTTGGCATTTGCTATAACAACTAACAAATCCCAAGGACAAACTCTTCTTGTATGTGGACTAAATCTGGCATGTTCCTGCTTTTCTCATGCTGTACCTGACATGTCGGCCTACGCGTTTGTAGACCAAACAAATCGCTGGTGAAGGAAAAACAGAAAAATCACTGTATCTAAAGCATTAGAAACTACGTGCTTTTACATTTTAGAATTAGTTTTATTTTCATTTAAAAACCACAAAATATTCGTATATAAAACTTTGAATGAATATAAAGGGGTAGCGAAAGGAATAGCGATGTGTGGTTCAACTAATAAAGTATATATGTAATAACAACTATTGGTTTTTATACCCTACACCACAAGGTGGTCAGGGTATTATGTCTTTGTGCATTTGTTTGTAACAGGCAGAAGGAAACGAGATAGACCCATAGTTCCTTTTGATGATCTGCATAGAATCACATTCTGAGTCGATTTATGCATGTCCGTCCGTCCGTCTGTCCGTCCGTCTGTCCGTCCGTCCGTCCGTCTGTCCATGTATTTTTGTAAACAAAGTACAGGCCGCATTTATTGCCCGATCCACATGAAATTTTGCACAGATCATTTGTTTGGCCCTATTGAAATTGGAAATAATCGGTCAAAATTTAGATATAGCTCCCATATATATCTTCGTCCGATTTGCTTTTTATTGTGCACCAAACGTGTAATATCAGTCCGAATTGTATGGAATTTTGCATATACACCCAAATTAGGTCTGAAAATATGTATGCCAAATTTGATTGAAATCGGTTCAGATATAGCTATAGCTCCCATATATATTGTTCATCCGATTTGTTATTTTTGTCCACCGCCGCCGTAATATGCACTCTGCAACAACAATACTTGGGGAAATATATCAAATGCAGCTCAGAAATACACTTGCTAAATTTTATCGGGATCGGTTCAGATTTGGATATAGCTCCCATATATAACTTCGTCCGATTTACCTTTTATTGTGCACCAAACGTCTAATATTTGTCCAAATGGGATGGAATTTGGCACTTACGACCGAATCGGGTCTAGAAGGTAGTATGTCAAATTTAGTGAAGATCGGTTCAGATATAGCTATAGCTCCCATATATATTGTTCATCCGATTTGTCATATTTGTTACCCACAGCCGTAGTATGCACTCCGTAACAACGATATTCAGGGAAATATATCAAATACAGCTCAGAAATATCTTTGCCAAATTTTATCGAGATCGGTTCAGATTTGGATATAGCTCCCATATATATCTTTATCCGATTTCAAATTAATTGTGCACCAAATGGGCAATACAATTCCGAATTTAAAAGATACAAATGCTTTGGCATATTTAGTCCTTTGAACTTTAAATTATAATTATAATCATAGCGTATATGTTTGAATTCTCCCATAAAAACTTTTATTTGTTATGTGGAGCTCTACTAAATTAGCAAAGTGGTGTAGGGTATCATAAAGTCGGCCCCGCCCGACTTTAAGACTTTCTTTACTGGTTCTAATTTGATATTGATATTATAATTATTTTCAACCTTTGACACATTGATTATTGCATTTCTATTTTCCGCCATAGTATGGAGGGTATATTAAGTTTGTCATTCCGTTTGTAACAGCTCGAAATGTACGTTTTAGACCCCACAAAGTACAGACCGATAGACGGAGGGACATTGCTAAATGGACATAGAATTTTATGCCGATCAAGAGTATAAAGATCAGCATAAAATTCTATATCGATTTAGCAATGTCCGTCCGTCTATCGGTCTATTCGTCTGTTGATAAAATTTTACTCAAATGTGTATTATCTCTGCAGGACTTTTAATAATGAAAATGGGTGATGTAGGTCCACGTTTTGGTATAGCCCCCATATAATGGTACCTCCCTTTTTCGGTATTTTGATGATTTTAGCGACATTATTCACCGGAATTGTTTTAAATTTGTTATTTTAAGTTCATAATGGATGCTACAGCCTAAGATGGAAAATTGTCTGTGCAGGTCCACGTCTTCGTATAGACCCCATATAATGGTACCTCCCGATATTCGACATTTTGATGGTTTTATATTATTCACCAGAAGTGTTTCAAATTTGGTATTTAAAGTTCGTAGCGGATCATGCCTATGATAGAAAATTGTCTATGCAGGTCCACGTCTTCGTATAGCCCCAACATAACGGTACCTCTCTATATTCACCGAATTTTTTATTCAAGTTTCGCATCCACGTCGTCGCATAGACCCTAATATAACGGCTACACTCAGTCTTTTTAAGATGTTAAAAGAATTTTTAACGGATTTTATTTTTGTTGAAAATCTCCAAAATCGTTCCAAATGGTGGAGGGTATTCAAAGATCGGCCCGGCCGAACTTACTGCTTTTTTACTTGTTTTCTAATAGGAATTTATGCATTTAGAATTAAATTAACAAAAATATTTACGAATTAAAAATAGAAATGTCAGTATGCTTATATTAAATACAATATTCTTTTTTCTTACAGAAAACTCGAGCTCGGCTAGCAAAATATATCAAATTTATGGTTATTAACCCTAGCCGTGTGCTGATCAAACAGGGAGATATGCCCCAAATGGTATATTTTATACTAACTGGCGAAGTGGAAGTAAGCAAAAATACCTTTAATCCGGTAAGTTTTATACGACAAAAACAATAATTTCGTATTACTGTACAATTCTAAATACAATGTGAAGCCCTGTTACTCAGTTTATTACTTAAAGAAATTGTTTACAAAAACACTTCAGAGAATAAGTTTCCAATACATGATCTTGAAAAAATTACTGCATAAAAATGAGGCCAACATTTCGATGTTTGAGAAATATTCTTTTTATACCCTCCACCATACTATGGAGGGTATATTAACTTTGTCATTTCGTTTGTAACTCCTCGAAGTATTCATGTCAGACCTAAGAAAGTATATATATTCTTGATCAGCGTAAAATTCTAAGTCGATTTAGCGATGTCCATCTGTCTGTCTGTCCGTCTGTCTGTTGTAATCACGCTATCTGTCCAACGAATTGAGATAGAAGGCAAAAATTTTGCACAAATGTTTATTTTTCCAGTAGGCAGGTTAAGTTCGTAAATGGGCCATGTACGTTTTCATATAGCCCCCATATAACGGTACCTCCCGATATTTGGTATTTTGATGCTTTTAGCGACATTATTTACCGGAATTGTTTAAAATTTGGTACTTGAAGTTCGTAATGAATACTACAATCTAAGACAGAAAATTGTCTGTGCAGATCCAAGTCTTCGTATAGACCCCATATAACGGTACCTCCCTATATTCGGTATTTTTATGATTTTAGCGTCATTATGCACCCGAATTGTTTCAAATTACGTATTTAGAGTTCGTGGTGGGAACTTCAGTGTGTGACAGAAAATTGTCTATGCAGGTCCAGGTCTTCGTATAGGCCCCATATACCAGTACCTCCCCATATTCGGTATTTTCACGAGTTTGTTTGAAATGTCATATTTGAAGTTGGTAATGGATGCTACAGCCTATGACAGAAAATTGTCTATGCGGGTCCAGGTCTTCGCACAGCTCCGATATAACGGTACCTCCCTATATAGGATATTTTGATGATATTAGCTACATTATTCACAGTTTACTTAAAGTTTTAAATTTGAATTTGGTAATGACTTATGACAAACAATGCCTATGTAGGTCCACGTCGTATAGACACCAATATAACGGCTATATTCGGTATTTTAAAAATTTTAACAGAATTTTTTAAGGATTTTATTTTCAAATTCTTTTCAAATGGTGGAGGGTATTCAACGTTCGGCCCGGCCGAACTTACTGCCTTTTAACTTGTTTTTTATTTGCCTTAGTAAGGCGAATATCATATGTCTACGATTTAATTGTTAATTTATCTTTCGAGACGAGCTCGTCCTAAACTAAGTCTGATGAACAAGCGAAGGAACGAAGCTTTAAATGAAAACATGTGGCAAAAAAGTGGCTTGCTATTTGTTTCATTTTACATAAGATAAATAAACTTCTTGATTTATGTCCTCAATCGACAAAAATAAACAAATGCATATTTAATTTATATGTTTCTGATATGTAGATAACAAACACCTGGAGCAACCTCATAGTTCGGATAAGTGGGCCCGGTGAATGTATTGGAGATATAGAAATGCTTGAAAATTGCCCTCGCTTGAATACATATTCAACAGGAAGTAAGTATCTCCACCTTAATATTATACGTTGTAAGTTCAAAAATATGACTAATACCGTCAAAGCTCCTTTAATCTGGCTGTGCAGTGATATGGGTGTTTTACATCTACTAACCAAAAATGCATCAAATTAAATTCGTGTGGATCTATGTAGAGTGAATTTCCACGTACTGCTAAATTGGCATAGAAACTTATGCTGATAAAGAATATATATTATAATCTTATAATGGAATTGTCTAAACCATATAAGTTTCAGTCTTATTCCAATCAATCTATCAAATTGCCGACTATCAAATCATTTTTTTCTTGTTTTGAGCCCATTTAGACGATTAGAAATCATGCTGCAAGTTTTTAGTTTTGTCCACCTCATGATAGAAGACAGTCCAACTTAACTAGTCTTTTATGACTTCAATCATAAGATGGGAGTAAATTATTTTGCTATCGGTTTGTCATACCTCAAAATATTCTTTGAGGACAAACAGAGTAAAATTTTACGTCGATTTAACTATATCCATCTATCTATCCGCATGTCCCTTGATATTAAAAAAGAGGTTCCAATCTTTAAATAAGTCTTTGAGTGTAGCAAAAACGAATAAATAATTCATATACCGATTTAGGTATAGCACTTAAATAATGCGAATGAATAATCCGCAATAATATCTTTTCCGATCATAATTACATGCATTTATCTACTGAGGTGGCCAGAAATAACTTCCACGACCATTTCCAAGTGTCCAACAGAATTTTTTCAAGAAAACTGTTGAGAAAGCTTTAAAAAGATTACCTGACTACGTCGGTGTATATTTTTATACCCTCCACCATACTATGGAGGGTATATTAACTTTGTCATTCCGTTTGTAACTCCCCGAAATACTCATGTCAGACCCAACAAAGTATATATATTCATAATCAGCATAAAATTCTAAGTCGATTTAACGATGTCCGTCTGTCTGTCTGTCTGTCTGTTGAAATCACGATACAGCCCACATTGTTTGACGTAGAGCGCCAAAATTTAGCAGAGCTATTTGCATTGTGTCTAGGATGGTTGGTATTGAAAATGAGATATATCGGTCCACGTTCTGGTATAGTCCCCATATAACGGTACCTCCCGATATTCGGTATTTTGATGATTTATGCCACATTTTTTCACGGATTTGTCTGGAAATTTGTATTTGTAGGTCATAATGGGTCCCTGAGCGTGTGGCAAAACATTGCATGTGTAGGTCCACGTTGTGGTAGCCCCCATATAACGGTACCACCCGATATTCGGTAATTTGATGATTTTTGCCACATTTTTCCACGGATTTGTCTGAAAATTGGTATTTGTTGGTCATAATGGGTTCCAGCTTCGGTGGTGAAACATTGCATGCATGGGTCCATGATTTGATATAGCCCCCATATAACGGTACCTCCCGATATTCGGTATTTTGATGGTTTTTGCCACATTTTTTCAATGATTTGTCTAAAAATTGGTATTTGTGGGTCACAATGGGTCCTAGTTCGTGTGGCGAAACATTGTAATTATAGGTCCACGTTTAGGTGCAGCCCCCATATAACGGTACCTCCCGATATTCGGCATTTTAATGGTTTTTGCCACATTTCTTCTAATGTTTCTTTTACCCTAAGGTGGAGGGTATTAAAAGTTTGGCCGGCCGAACTTAATGTTTTTTTACTTGTTTTTTCAGTAGGCAGGTTAAGTTCGTAAAGGTACTTCCGGATATTCGGTATTTTGATGATTTTAGCGACATTATTAACCGCAATTGTTTAAAATTTGATATTTGATGTTCCAAAAGGATAGTACAGCCTAAGACAGAAAAATTACTGTGCAGGTCCACGTCTTCGTATAGCCCCCATATAACGGTACCTCCCGATATACGATATTTTGATGATTTTAGCGACATTATTCACCGGAATTGTTTCAAATTTGGTATTTAAAGTTGGTAATGGATACTACAGCCTAAGACATAAAATTGTCTGCGCAGGTCCACGTCTTCGTATAACCCCCATATAACTCTACCTCCCTATATTCACTATTTTGATGATATTATATATATTCTATATATTCGATATTTTTAAAATTTAAACAGAATTTTTTAAGGATTTTATTTTTTGAAAATTTCCAAATTCATTCCAAATGGTGGAGGGTATTCAAAGTTTGACCCGGCCGAACTTACTGTTTTTTAACTTGTTCCTTTTAAGTATAGCCTCCCAATTATGGGTGCCTGCAGATTTTAAGTATTTTGATGCATTGAGAAACATTTTCCAATCATATAATTATTTTAGAGTTTCAGGTTTTTACGAAAATAGAAGAAAGTGAATAAGCAAACGTAAAATAAAAGCGGTTTCAATAGTTGGACCATGGTACCAAATATTTTGAAAGTATTCTCAGATATTACTACGTGGGGTCAATCGAAAAAAGGTTTAAAAACATAAACCCCGAAAATACAAAATTAAAAGTTGGCGAATTCTATTAATTGAAGGATATCTTTAAAACTATGACTAAAAATCTAAGACTGCAAACTAAGGACAACCACTGTTGTAGCGTCGATAGAAAAAAAGGAGGTTTCATAATAACCTTTCCTTGAACAGCATAGATAAGGCACCAGGAATGAGGTGCCTGAGTCTTCTCAAACCTTCTGTGTTCAGATTGCAACAATGGGCGTCCTCGACAGCAATGACAAGTCCGTCAGATCCGTTCAAAAATAGCAGTACCTGATATAGGACCCTGTCAAGAACTACGTTTTTTAACTACGGATATCTCTTGTGGCATGAGAAATAATACTGCGATTTTCTTCAAATTTCGTCCATCTCCATATTTGTACCAACATTAGATCTGGTGTGAATGTGGGATATAAGACCCCGCCAAATACTACATTTTTTTTAATTGCGCATACAGGGTGAGATAAGAAACTGCAACAAAGTCAAATGCCATAATTTTTACATTTTTTTAATTTTATTGAATGAATGCAAAAATTCAACGGATTGGTATCCGGAGATGGTGGCCATTGTGCGCTGGAAATGATTCGAGGAACCTCATTTTCTAACCATTCTTGGGTGGCGCGTGCTGAGTGCGATGGTGCTGAGTCCTGTTGGAATGTCCAAGGTCTGCGGCCACAATGTTTGCGTGCCCAAGGCTTTAATACACCCTAAAGAATATTTTTGCGATGATATTCGGCATTTTTCTGATGCCACGGTCGATTAATACGAGCGGAGAGCGACCATCGGCTTGGCGCTTGAGTTCTGGTGGCCAACCGAATTTTTAACTGATCTCTTTGGCAAGTAAACGATCATTTTCTTTGTTTACAAACTGCTGGACAACGAATGTTTTTTCATCGGAGAAAATCAAATTCTCTTTTGGGTCTATTTTCTTTAAGCTGTGGTGTAAGTTCTTGCACTTTTTGGAATCTCAATGGCTTTACCCCGAGCTCATTTTTCAATATTTGCCGAGTGGAATAAAGCGATATTTTCAGCTCACAACCCATTTTTCGGCCGTTTCTGCTGATGTTGCTGTTTTCTTCCGTCCACTTGCTTGACGTCGGGCTACGCAACGAGTATCACGGTAACAAGCGATGGTACGAGACACAAGAAATTTGTTCACATTTAAATGCTGGAGTGCTCTAGCGATAGCCTTTCCAGCCAAATATAAAGAAATCACACTATCACCCTTGAATTCCATCACGATTATTTTTTTTTCTGAAAAATTCTCACCAAAATGCTTTTGTACGCTTGTAAACAATATAATGAGCTGTCACTGCAATAATTTTAACAGCTGTCGGACGAAAGGCTTAGAAATAACAGCAGTCTGAAGTTGGTTGCAGTTTTGTCATCTCACCCTGTATCTCTATGTCATGAGAAATAATACTCAGATTTTCTTCAAATTTCGTTCATCGTTCATGTATATTCTTGTATTAACCACAGATCTTTTGTGAATGTGTAATAAGTACTTTCGCAAATTGCGAAATACAATCGCACATTCCCAACAATTTGTTTCAGAAATTGTTATAATGGGAAGTGTTGGTCCTTTTTGATACCTCCCCGTTTAAAATTCACGAGAATAATCTTATACATATTTCACATAAAAACGTAGGGGATTACCCGATACACCATTTGCAAGGAATTGCAAATTTTCAAACCAAAAAATACTATTAAATTAAAACAAGTAAAAAATGTAACTTTGAATACCCTCCACCATTTGGAACGATTTTGGTAATTTTCAAAAAACCAATAGCCGTTAAATTTCTGTTAAAATCTAAATTAGGAACTTCAAATACGAAATTTATAATGACTCCGCTAAACAATGTTGCTAAAATCATAAAAATACCGAATATAGGGAGTTACCGTTATATGGGGGCTATACGAAGACGTGGACCTGTATAAGCAATTTACTCTCATCGGATGTAGTACCCATTAGGAACTTCAATTTAAAAATTTGAAACATTTCTGGTGAAAAGTGTGACACAAATCATCAAAATACCGAATATCTGGAAGTACAGATATAGGGGGCCTATACCAAGACGTGGAACAACATAGCTCGTTTTCAATACCAAAAGTTCTGCAGACCTAACACACATCTATGAAAAATTGTATCAACTTACTTCAGTCGTTCGGAAGCTAGAGTGACTTTCACAGACAGACGGACATCGCTTAATCGATGTGGAATTTAGTCAATTCGATAAGAATATACATACCTTATGAGGTCTAAAAGTTATATTTTGATGTATTACAAACAGAATGACAAATTTTAGTATACCCCCCATATTATGGTAGAGGGTATAAAAAGGAAGACACACATATATCACATATAAAACGTGCTTCTAGCCTTTTCACATTTAGGTCAGAAGCAAACGTGCAAAATATAAAAGTGTTACATTAATAAAAATGTATACGACCTGATATTAGTTCCTTCCTGAGAATAACTGAGAATTTTTATATTTGAAGTCGAAATTAGCAATCCTGCTTGAAAATATTTTCAATACCATCTGTTGTCTGTCATTAAATGCACAAGAGTTATGGCTTTGAGTAAATATTTGCATTGACTAACTACCCAACTCTTTACATAATTGAATACTTCTAAATGTTTGATCCAACAACGCTCTAGTAAATTGCTTAATGACATTAGCTAATAAACATTGTTATATCGGCAATAAAATGAATTCCACCTTAGCTAAATTTATTTGCGTGTTTCTTTGAAAATGGGACACATCAAAATAAATCAAATCAATATTTGCATACACTTGTGTTCAAAAATATATTACGGATTTGAAAACTATGAACTGTGATTATGGCAAGATGTATAACTCGGATCGTACGTTTTCAACTTTTGATGTACGTCTTTTAGACCCTACAAAGTGGGTGTTTTTTTTTTAAAGCTATAGAAAAGACAAACAAACAGCAAAGAAATATGTACAAACGAATACATGAACTTTATAGAGTCTTCGACGGATACTTTTAGATGTAGCAAACGGAATGACAAAGTCATGCTACGCTTCATCTCATAATGTAGGGTATAACAAGTAATGAGATCCGACACGATTCAGACAGTGCTTTAGGAATTACAGTTGAACTATTTGTTAACTAGGTTTTACTATTCTATCCAGAACCATAATATGTCACATTAATTACACTGTGCGACATCAAAAATACACACTTGCTCCAATGTTCCAATTCTGGTTTGTGGAAGCCAACAACCACGTCACTTCAAAAATGTATTTTTTAACGGTATATTTATAAATCCGAGTTTATTTTTTTTAAGATTTGTATCACAGTGTTATCTAATTTTATACATGACTGTACTATCTGACTACGTTTAGGTATGAGGTCGTGTTCAACATGGATTTGTTTGCCGCTTTCATTTGTAGAACATTGATGGTGAAATTTTGAACCACCCATCGAATCGAAGTCACTCAAACTTCGTCCATTATTACATGATGAGTTATGACATGAATCACTGCTACAAGTAGTTTATACCATTCGTCAAAAATTAGCGTAGCGTAGCGTGGTCTGATGTTTTTTTTTGTCTTTAAATCTAGCCCTCTAACAGTGATAGTGGGAGATATTTCTTCTATTACTTGCACCACACAATGTACGAATGTATGTCCTTACAATTCTCCGACAATTGTTTCATACAGACGTTTTATTTCCGTTGAATTTTTTCCAAACATTCGAATTGCAATTTCGACAATGACATAGTCAAACATGTTTATTGTTTTACACAGATGTTGTTGAACTATTGGTAGTATTTCACGAGGATTTCGAGCGCATACTGCGTCCCGTTATGGAAAAGGAATGGTTGGAAAAGAGGCACTCCATAGAAGCATTGGACTATTTCCAGTTTTTCACAAAGGACCAGGTTACTTTCCATGGAAATATTGCAATGGTTGTAACACTTTCTATGTTGGCAGGTAATCGATGCATGTAAATTGGGTATCTTGCGACAATTCGAGCCACTGCAAACGATATACTATGAGGACGAGGGACATCTAGGTTATGTTTACTTTGTTCTCAGCGGCGAATGCATGATACTGCAGTGCCTGGAAGTTTTGGTAAGCTTAGATTGAGATGTGTTTTATAAATTAATTAGCTTGGTTTCGTATTTTCTTTTAAAAGACTGCACAAAGGATCGGACATACATTTTACAAATTATCACCTGGATTAAGTTCAGAGGATGAAATGGTAAGTACTTTTAATTCAATATGCATTGTTATAACCTACGGCACGCCGTGGTACAGGGTATTATAAGAATTTTCACTTTTGTTGATTTTCATAACATAAATTATAGGGTAGGTTTATGCTTGTGGGGATTTTAAGACAATTCCATTGAAAAAGTGTGGCTAACATCATCAAAATACCGAATATCGGGGGGTACAGTTATATGGGGGATATACGATATCGTAGACATATATAGACAATTCTTTTTGAGGGGGTAAAATGCCCACAAGGGACTCCTTTTGTGGAATTTCAGACAATTCCATTGAGAAATGTGGATAAAATCATCAAAATACCAAATATCGGGGGTACCGTTATATGGGCGCTATACGATATGGTGGACCTATTTACATAATTCTCTGCCGAGATATAAAGTACCCACAAGGAACTACTTGTGTGGATTTTCAGACAATTCCATTGAAAAATGTGGCTAAAATCATCAAAATACCGAATATCGGGGGTACCGTTATATGGGGGCTATACGATATCGTGGACCGATATAGCGCATCTTCGAACTTGACCTGCCTGCAGACAAAAGGGAGATCTGTGCAAAATTTTAGCTTCCTATCTTAATTCGTTTAGACTGTAGCGTGATTATAGCAGACGGACAGACGGACGGACAGGGCTAAATCGTCTTAGAATTTTACGCTGATCAAGAATATACATACTTTGTTGGGTCTAAAATGATTATTTCGATGAGTTACAAACGGAATGACGAACTTAATTTACCCTCCATACTTTTTTGGTGGAGGGTATAAAAATCTACTTTTAAACTGAAATAATTGGCGTAATCGGTTGGAAGATGCATTTGAAGTCTTTACAATATCACAAAGTGAGCGGTACAGTTATATGAGGTCTATTACGAGCCATTTTCGGCCACTGCGACGCGGGTTTCGATCAAGTCGCTTTCAAATCATTTCTGCTGATGTTGCTGTTTTCTCCCGTCCACTTCCTTGACGTCAGACTACGCTAAAGTATCATGGTAACGAGCGATGGCACGAGACACAAGAGATTTATTCACATTTTAATGCTGGAGTGCTGTAACGATAGGTACTTGTGGGTTTCCAGCCAAATATAAAGAAATCGCACTATCACGCTTGGATTCCGTCACGAATAACATTTCTTCTGGAAAATTCCCACCAAAAAGCTTTTGTACGCTTGTAAACAATGAGCTGTCACTGGAATAATTTTAACATCTGTCAGACGAGTGGTTTGAATTTGGTTGCAGTTTTTTTCATTTCCACCTGTTCGTCTGTCCATATATTTTTATACCCTCTACCATAGTATGGAGGGTATATTAAGTTTGTCATTCCGTTTGTAACACCTCGAAATATACATTTTATTATTATTTTAGTTTTTAGTTTAGTCTGTGGAAATCACTCTAGCTTCCGAAGGAAATGAAGTAGATTGATAAAATGTTACTCAAATGTATATTATGTCTGAAGGACATTGAAAATGGACTATGTAGGTTTACGTTTTGCTATAGCCCTTATATAACGGTACCTCCCGATATTTGGTATTTGATGATTTTAGCTACATTATTCACAGAAATTGTTTCAAATTCGGTATTTGAAGTTCGTAATGAATACTACAGCCTGTGACAGAAAATTGTCTATGCAGGTCCACGTCTTCTTACAGCCCCTATACAACGGTACCTCCCTATATTTATATATTTAATGATTTAAGCGACACATCCTAATAGATACTCCAGTCTATGACAGAAATTGCATATACTGGTCTACGTCTTCATATAGGCCCCAATATAAAGGTAACTCCCTATATTTGGTATTTTTATACCCTCCACCTTGGAAAGGAGGGTATATTTACTTTGTCATTCCGTTTGTAACATCCTTAAATATTCGTCGTAGACCATATATATATATATATATATATATATATATATATATATATATATATATATATATATATATATATATATATATATATATATATATATATATATATTTTGATGATTTATGCCACATTTTTTCACGGATTTGTCTGAATTGATAGTTGTAGGTCATAATGGGTCCCAGTTCGTGTGGTGAAACTTTGTATGTATAGGTCCACGATTTGGTATAGCCCCCATTTAACGGTACTTCCCGATACTCGGCATTTTAATGGTTTTTGACACATTTCTTCGCGGTTTTCTGTAGAAATTGGTATTTGTTGGTCTTAATGGGTTCTAGCTCTTTTGCGAAACACTGTATGTATAGGTCCACGTTTTCGTATAGTCCCATACAGCCGTATTTCCCTATATTCGATATTTTCCCATGAATATGTATAAAAATTGTAATATGTGGGTCATAATGGGCTCTAATGTTTCCTTTACGGCCGAACTTAATGTTTTTTACTTGTTATTATTAGCATGTAGTTTTCAAAGCAAAATGGTTATGAAAATTTGCAAGTTGCTTTCAATTGGTGGAGGGTATACAGGTTTTTACTTGCTATAATTCGAACTTCAGCTGTGTGAAAGCGTGCTCTTCAATTTTGTGAACAAAAAATCGTTAAACATAGCTGATGAGGTAACGGCTTCTCCTTGCTCGTGTTCAAAGAAAAATGGCCCAAGCAGCGACACGTTTTGGATGCATCGGTTTTTATACCCTACACCACAAGGTCAGGCTATTATGTCTTTGTGCATTTGTTTGTAAAATGGAGAAGGAAGCGACATAGACCCATAGTTACTTTTGAGGATCTATATAGAATCACTTTCTGAGTTGATTTATGCATGTCAGTCCGTCTGTCCATGTATTCTTGTGAACAAAATGCAGGTCGCATTTATTATCCAATTGAGATAAAATTTCCCAACCACCATTTGTTTGGCCCAAGGACGAACCCTATTGAAATTGGAGATAATCGGTAAAAATTTAGATATATATTATGTGATGTGATATATTAACATTTTCATTTTGACTTTGTGAACAAAATAAAGAATAATTTTTCACTATATACAATTTTTCACTAAAAAAATGAAATAAGTGCGAAATAGGATGTTAACTGACATCTTCCTTTCAACTCCAGGGCCTACATCGTGGTTCAGCTGGAAGATGCGCACACATTTAAGCAAACAAAAATGACCGGAAAAGACTAATAGGGGTCATTTCAAAGCGTGGACCTACTTCTTTCATGTGACAATAATCCGTCCAATGAGAGCTCAGAATGCAAATTTTTTTGGGAGTAGAATCAGTAAAATACTAAATATAAAGCGTTCAAAGTAGTAGAGCGAATGGGACTTTTAGTAAGAAAGGATTTCTATCTTTCCAGAAATTCTTCCCGAACATTCAAGATACCTTAAATCGCTTTTGCAGGTCACGATTTAAGCTATTTTTGGGGTCTTCGCCACTTTCTTCTATTTTTGGCCCTTATTTAACATCTTTGTTTCTAAGGGGGTAGAAAACCTCTTCGCATAAAATTTTCGGAGTAGGGCCCATATTGGTTTTAACCACATTCATCAATTGATTTGGCAAAAAAATTGTATTTATGCTACCCTGGGGTAAGGAACTATCATACAGATTATTGCCACAAAAAATTGTATTTATGCTACCCAGGGGTAAGGAAACATCATACAGATAATTGCCACATAGAAGTTTATTTAAGTAAAGTCCCCACATTGGAGTATCCCCAAGTCCACTTTCACATCTAATGTGTGGTCAGAAAAGAAAATTTTGTATTCTATTGAAGAGAATATTGGTTGGGAACGTAGATTTGGGATGTACGTCTATATGAAATAAACTCCGAAATGTCAATATGGGTGCTGTTGAGAATAGAAACACGACCGTTTCGTCTGTGTGTTATTTCAATTCTGATTTTATTTAAGAAATATGTTCCTTACGTACTACTGAAACTAATCTAACTTAACCTAGTCGCAGCCACACAATTGTTTTTATCTATTCTAATATTGAATGGAGAACATTGCAGGGCTGCTTGTAATTTCATTCAAGAGGTCTTGTGCATTTACTGAGCGCATCGATATCTGTGCCTGTGGGTCATAACCTTTATTATCTCACACATTATCGTATGCGTCAGCGCACAAGATCACTGAATTCTTCATATGTGATATTTATGGCGGCTGGGAAATATTTAACTTAGACCATTTATTTTTTATTGCTACATTTTCCCAGCGCCTCAATCACACTCAAAAGTATGTACAAAGTATTTTGTACAGGTGCACCGATTTGAATAATTTTTTGTACAAACATTCGTCATACCCCGAGTTAGGTTTTTAAAGAAAAAAATATTGACCACGCCTACTTTTGCGCCCACTATACATTGGGACTGCAATCCGTGAAATACCGACTATAAAGGACGCAAAATAGTAGAGCGAATTCCTTCCAGAAAATTTTTCCAAACATTTAAGATACTTTTAATCGCTTTGGCAGGTCATGATATGGGTCATAGACCCCGATAACGGAACAACCCGATTTCAAGTATATTCTACATTTTAACCATATTTTTCGTACTAATTTTATCTTATGTTGATAATTTAAAAAAAACCATCCATGCAAGAAATGATCACGTTTTAGTATCACCATCATATGATTTAAGGTATTTTCGGGGTCTTGGCCACTTTTTCCATTTTTTGGCCCTTATTTGACATCTTTGTTTCTAAGGGGGAAGAAAACCTCTTCTCATAATTTATTTTTTTATATTTATTTTTCGGAAAAGGGTCCATCTTAGTCTTGAGGCTACTTTGGATAAAAAACCCTGAGGTAGAAAACAATCTTCAGATAATTATCCACATATGCATTTATTTAAGTATAGTCCCCACATTAGTATACCCCCAAGTCCACTTTTCCAACCAATGTTTGGTCACAAAAGAAAATTTGGTATTCTATTGAATTTGTAACCCCCAAGAGAATATTGGTTGGGAACGTAGATTTGGGATGTACGTCTATATGAAATAAACTCCGAAATGTCAATCTGGGACTTATTCAGTCGGAAATTGTGGCAGAAACATGAAAAAAAAT